GGGGATTCACATGGATCCTAATAGAATATCTATTCAATTTCATCGCTTAGACTCTGACGAAAAGTTGGTTTCCATGTTTAAATAGCTCGGATTATGTAGGATTGTTTGAGAGGTGGAGTGATATCATGATTGTCGTGATATTGTTGGCTTTTATCATAGCAAGCTTTCGCTCCTATCTAGGAAAAAGTTATTGAACAAGTGAGTTTAGATTACTTTAAAGGATTTCTAGAAACGGGAGGTTCATACTTTGGAGTTATGTTTATTGAATATTTCAAACTATCTATTTATAGGTTTGCTTCACCAAAGTCAAGATTTCCAACTCAGCCTAATGTTACAGTGTATGGAGGACATAATATCTCTCATATTTAGATGTGGCAGATTTGTGGACATTAATGCCCTTGCCCACAAATTAAACTTGTCATATTTAAATGTGTGACATTTAAATATGTGAGATATTATGCTCTCCATACAATGTAACTAGAGTGAAACACAGATTCATATTTCATCGTTTGGTAGGACATACCCTGGTATTTATGAAGCTCAGTTATGAACCATGACTTTGGTGAAGAAAACCAAAAAATAGTTAGCTTGAAATATTTAATAAACGTAAATATGAGTATCCAATTTCAAGCAATTGACCAAACTCACTTGTTTGTTAACATTTTAAATAAATCATAAATGGAGGTGAAAGTTTGCTATGATAGAAACCGATAATATCACGACAATAATTAGGTCGCTTCTCATCTCGAACAATCCTAGATATTCTAAGCCTTTTAAGTTTGGAAACCAACTTTTCATCATTGTGTGAATGATGAAATGGAAGAAATATTCCATTGGGGCCCATGCGCATCCCTTAATACTCGAGAAAGACCAAAGCTATTGTAACATTAGAGAAGTGGTGTCTGGCATGGATTTTTTTAGGCGATAACTACTAGCCAAATTATGTGTCTTCTCCCACACTTCGGGAGAGTGTAAACAACTTCTCTTATAGAGTACTATTTTCTTAGGATCTCGAACCTCATGAAAGAAGGATATGCGATTGTTTCAGCCAACATATTAGCAACACTTAGAATCTCGCGTATGATTCTCAAGGTCAATCTATCTTGATAAAAGGAGATGACCTTCAATTTTGAACTTCTCATATGCATCGCTCCACACAATAGCATTACAATTAAGGATCATGATATTTATAAAAACACTCCAAGACCATCCTTTCCCTTTTTCGCAAAATTGTACTTCCTCTGTTCCAAATTCATTTACATTCGTCAAACAATGTGCAGGATCTCATCTTTTTTGAAGTATTATGTTTATAAATTGCTATAGAAATAAAAAATACAAATTACATATTCAAAAACTATATTAAAAGTTTTACAAAACAAGATTCAATAAGAATATTTTATCTATTTTATCAAATGACCAATGAAAACACATGGTAAACAAAAGTTATCGAGAATCTAATAGTAAAAGTGTAAATCATTTTGGGACGGTGGGAGTAATATGGAGTTATCGTGACCAACTGTTTGTAGCATGTCAACTCTTTCTTATAAAGGAAAAACTACATGTTGTAGATTGATCATGTATAACCACTTCTTCAACAGCTTGTGTGTTTTAAACCATTTTTTTCTCTGGAAAAATACTGGCTGGTTTCTTTGATTTGTTTTGTTTGTTGGCAGGTACGTTTAAGTTAACATTTCAGTTCACAGAAAGATTACCCAAGTAAGCCTCCACCAACCCTGTGAATTATATCATAGTAGTAGTTGAGAATTGTTCGTTTACTACTCCATATATGCTTTATAGTTGAAGTATGTTTAATGGGCCCGGTTCTAGTGACACCGGAGAACGGTGCCACTAGCGGTGCCACTGGGTTTTTGGGGCACCTCCGGTGCTCCGTTCGTAAAATTGACGGTTCCTGCCCCCTAACCCACCCCCTAAACTCCCCCACCCTACCCCCATCCCTGCATCCCCACCCAAACCCCGCCGTACCCCCCCACAAAATGTGTGGCTATTATGCATTGCATAGCTATTATGCATTGCATAATAGCCACACATTTTGTGGGGGGGGGGTACGGTGGGGTTGGGGTGGGGGTAGGGTGGGGGGTTTAGGGGGTAGGAACCGTCAATTTTACGAACGGAGCACCGGAGGTGCCCAAAAACCCAGTGGCACCGTTTTCCGGTGTCACTGGAACCTGACCGATGTTTAATACTTTAATGCCAATATCATGTTCAAATGAACCTTCCAAAGATGAGGGAATATGTGATATAGATATGATTCCATCTGTTTGAAAAAATTAGTTGCTGATTCATTTTAGTAGCTTAAATTACTTTTGATAGAGATATAAATGATATTCTTCCGTCTCATAAAACCCTTCCTATTTGAAAGAAGGCGCGTGTTTAAAATGAGTAGTTTTAGTGTTATTTTCTAATTATGACTCATGTATCCTGCACATCTCATCCTACTTTATTATAATTTATAAACAAAGAGCAAATTTAGAAAATAACACCAAAATTACTCATTTTAAGGGTGCTTTTTTTCAAAAAAAGAAGGTTTTATAGGACGGGGGGTTACTTTTATGCTTTCTCATGGTTGTACATGTGGTCCTCAATTAATGAGGAATCTGTGAAAAGTTTCAAAGTGTTATACAAAGTATTGTCATGAATTTGAATGATGTCTTTATTTAAAGTTATGTTAGAGTTTAGCTTGGATCAGAGTGTGAAATGGTCAAATGGTGTCATAATTTGACCAAAATATCAAAGTTTGGCAATCTTTTCAAGACAGAAAGAGTATATGCTTTATACATTTCACTCTTCTCTTTCTCTCGTACGGGGGGCGTTAATTTAGCTCTCTCCCCCATCCCTTGGAGCAGGTAATTAGGGGATGACAATTTTGTTAACTGGTGTTGTTGCAATGATGATGAAGTAGTTACCTTGTAATGTCACCTTGTTTTGTCATTCTAGTCTTCTAAAAGGAATAACTTCACAAAAAAGTTGACACTCTTATTCTAAAACATGCCACTCAAACGGGTAAAATGTGGCAAGTATATGATCGTGTGAATTGTACGTTTGTCATCGATTCCGTGTTCTATTCTTAGAGGCATCACACAGCTTCATAGTGATTCTTGGAGGCCAACAATGATGAAGAGATGTATATGTACACATGTTTTACTTAAATTAAGTTATACGGTTTTATCCAGGTAATTATTACCGGCTCTAACCCAGAGTTATCTCTTTTTTTGTGGTTTAGCTTTGGCACAATTTAATTAATTGGTTATATTATAATGTAAATATTTTTGAACCATTGATAAATCGTGTATGTGAATACTAATTTAGTAGAAATTTGGACCCGTTAATTCATGGATTTGGATTATGCGATTTGGGAGGTTACACAAGATTTTATTTGATTAAATATTTTGAAATATCTCAAAATAATGTCAGTATAAAAGCGTGCTGTATATTATTTGTAAGTTTATTAAATTGTGTCCACATCGATATATATATACACTCTTCGTCTAACAATCAATTTCTCAACTACTATTCGGCTCTCGATAATTTGTATTTTTCCGTCATAAATTGTTACAATATTTTGAATGACATGTAAAATATTAAAACCTTTTTATTTACAAAGTGATAGAAAAATAAAATGTAAAAATTACACTAAAATGTAAAATTACATAATCAAGAGTATATCAAAAGTTTTACAAAATAAGATGTGATAAAAACATTCTATTTTATCAATTGGTCAATCAAAATGAGTAAATAAAAAAAGTTATTGAAATGCTGAAATAATAACTGTGTCAATTTTTGGGATGAATGGACTTTTTTTTTTGCATACTTTCATCATAATAAGATAAAATATTATTGTCACATCTTGTTTTGTAAAATTTTTAATATAGTTTTAAGATATGCAATTTGTACTTTTTTATGATATATTTTTTTTTTGAGATTTTTTTATGATATACTAATTTATTGAAATGATGAAATTGTAATTGTATCATTTTTTGGGATGGAGGGAGTATTTGTTTGCATATTTTCATCAATCATTTGATAAGATAAAATATTATTGTTACATTTTATTTTGTAAAATTTTTAATATAGTTTCAAACAATGTAATTTGTACTTTTTTATGATATACCAATTTGTAAGTAAAGTAATTTTAAAAAAGTGTGATTTTGAATGTTATTAAAAATGAAAAATTTATTGTTCGATAAAGGGAGTATCATTCATCCTCCGACATTTTCTACAAAATTCCAAGCTAGTTCTTCTACTAGTAATAGAGCAAGAAGCTATAAACTAGTTTATTATTTTTCTTTAAACTCTATTTTAGATGTCATTCATAAAAGTCCTTATCTTTTCAAATTCTAACAATCGCATATACTTCGTATTCTATACGGAGCAACTTTTTTTGTTGTAAAAAATCAATTTAGTTAAACAATTTTAGAACAAGAGGAGCATGTTCATTTGACTATGTTGGGAATTAAAGACACAACACACACAGATATCTTTGAGAATCAAGAGAGAAACGGAACACAAACGGCACACAAGAATTTAACGTGGTTCGATTTCCCTAATCTACGGCTGCAACAGGAGGATTTTCTTATTTCACTTGTGGTACTGATTACAAGTACAAGAATGCAATATATATAGAAAGAGTGCATCTAGGGTTTCGTAAAATGGGCCGGGCCAAAAGTCAAGCCCAAGCCTCCACAAACCCAACAGACTAATGCATGATAAAAATTGACAACCAACACCATACGTAATTTTTCTAAATTTTGAATTATTAAATAAAAACTCCAAGGTCCCGTTTGGTACACAGAATTCAAACTATGGAATTAAAATTGAAGAATTCAATTGCAATTCTCGTGTTTGGTAGCACAAAAATTATGTAGATTTGAATTGTTAGCGCAAAAAAATGAATTGGAATTGATGAATTCAATTCTATGAAATTGAATCTAATGGAATTTTAATTACAATTCAATTTCAATTCCATCAATTTCGTGTACCAGACGGATCCTAAAGATTTAATAGAAAAAAGTGTCACAACATTGAAACAAACCTTAAAAATAATAATATTACTACTATCTCTTCATGAAGCACTCATTTTTTTGGACCAACTATAAAAACATCACAGCTAAGGAACAGAGACCATATGTGCCCACAAATGGTTTCTACCACATGTAGACCCAAATTTTACACAGATGACACAAATGATAATTATCCGTGCGAAACTTGGATGCGGTAGCAATCATTTGGAGCATCCTGATGTTTTCCAGAACAGAGGGAGAGAGAAAATAAATATCAAAATGATAGAGGCACATCACATTTGACATCAACTTTGACACCAATACATGAATAGATTGGTTTCAAACTTTGTAAAAAGTGGTGTTCACCTATCATTTTTTTGAAGATCATCAATTAGTTGTATTTTGCAACAAACTTGTTGATTAATGCCAAGGCATTACTGGTGACCCGGGCGAGATTGTTGACCTGGGCCCGAATCGGAGCCTTAACCGAGCGATTAAAGGCCCGGCCCTCAAAACCGTCCATGCAAGTAGTCTGATCCGTCAGGGCCGCGCTGACCCAAGTCTGGGCGTTGCTGACGTGCAACGGGTATTCCGGTGAGTGGGCCCGGCCCATATTCTTGAGCTCCCCGACGGACTTGGTAATCCGGTCCATGCTGTCACTGATCTGGTCCAAGCAGTCCTTGAGCGGCCCATACTCTAAGCTCTTGGATCTATCCGTCGTCTTGCAGAGCCTGTTAACGAAGGCCTTGGTGGAGTTGGCCCGTTTCAGGCTCACGGACAGGGCGGTCTGGACCAGGCTCTGTGGGCTCTCTTTGATCGCCGGCCCGTACTCCGCCAGTGATGTCACGCACACGTCAGGGTAGGTGGCGGCACGGCAGGAGGACCTGATGAAGGCGGTGGCCGCCGCCGTCCCGGCCGTGCCGGAAACGCATGACAGAAGCACAACCACCGCTGCGACCGGAAGTAGGAGAACTCTGGCCATTGTTTCTAACTAACCAGTTGGAAGCCAATATGAAAGTGAAGAAGAAGAAGAAAAGAAGCTAATGGAGAAAGAGAATTCAAATGGTTGGTGGTACCATTAACAAGTGAACGCGTGATGATAATATAAAAAATATATTCCCACTCGCTTTGGTATTTATATACGGCCTACCAGCCCGTTGGATAGGATATTATTTTGTGAGTGATAGTCGGTTACTCTCTCCGAATATGTTTTTTTCATTTGATTTTTGTTGATCAAAATTTGTAAATTTTGACTATAATTTGTAGAAAAATATATTATATTATGGTATACATTTAATATCAATATATTTATAATGAAACGTAGTTTTCAAATATCAAATTTTTATAAAATATATTTATGTATAAATATAAATATTAATGGTCAAAGTGCAATATTAGAGACTGAAAAATGAAATGGGAAGAACATTTTCGGACAGAGGGGGTATATTTTACTCCTTCTATCCTCTATCAAATTCTAAACAACCTACAAAATTCAATCATTTTAAAAATTATTTTAATTATAAATTGATAATTTGATATCGAAATGAAAATTATCAATTACACCGTTTAAAAATAAATTAAAAATTTTATAAAACAAGGGGAGACAATTCAAAGAATATTTTATTTTAATAAATGATCAATAAAATACGTACAAAAACAAACAAAAGTTATTGAGAAATCGTAATAGTGGCAGTGACATCCATTTTGGGATGGATGAAGTTTTAAAGTACTCCCTGTCTCGAATATTGACTCTTCATTTCTAACAAAGACTTTTTGTTTCCAAGTTTATCTGAGAAAGGGTAAGACCACGGGAAATGACAAGTAACGAAATGGAATGCCACACGTTGACGTCACACATTTCAACTAATAAAAGTAAATCCAATCAGTGTGTGGCAAGCGAGTGGAGTGGCATATCGTGCAGTGGCAAGTCATTGTTTTTGTCAATTTTTATGATTTTTAATGCATTTTAATTATTAAAAATTATTTCATTTATCTTTTTTAAATAGATGTAATCTTTTCTTAAAAAAAGTATTTCTTCTACAAAAAAATAAAAAAATTAAAAAAAAACCTGGAAGATGCCTCGCGCCTCACACGCTTGGTGGGAGGAAGGCTGGAGCCTCACGAGGAATTGCTGATGTGGCGCAGCGAGGCTAGGAAATGCCTCGCCGCTCCGCATGCTCTAACAGTGGCACCGGTGGAGAATACGTTGTGAAAAGTCGGACTAAGGTGGTTTGGGTATGTGGGGCAAAGGAGTGATGAGGCCAATCCGAATGTGTGAGAGGTTTACGGTAGTCGTAGTTGGTATAAGTAGCAAAAAGGATAGACCTATGAAAATTTGGAAGATGTGATTAGAAAAGACCTAAAACTTATGCATTTACCAAGGATATGTCTTAGGCCCCGTTCCATTCAACTTATTTTTTCTCATTTTTTCTAATTCTTATTAAAATCAGATCAGATCGGATCCCATCAAGAATTATTATTATTATTATTATTATTATTATTATTGTTGTTGTTGTTGTTGTTGTTATTATTCTTAAAAATGAAAAAGAATAAACTTTAGAAAAAAGTTAAATAGAAATTATTTTTAAAATTTATTGACAATGTCAATCTAATTCTACTTTTAAAATACATTTTTATTGCTACCTGTAATTTGAGTTTCTAAAGTTTTGATCTTTTATAAGGATGAGATATTTTTTAAAAAATACTATCCCTTCTATATATTGATTATCTAAATTTAATATCTTTTTAATGTATATATAAATTAAATATTTATTCTAATGTATATATGAAGTAATTATTAAAATATTAAATTAATATTCTAATTTTCCAAAAAAATAATCATAAAATAAAAAATATTATTACATTATAATATGAATGATTATTCTGATATATGAATTAACTAATTTTATTTTATTAAAAAATAATCATAAAATAAAAATTATTGACTATATTATAATATGAATTATCATTACAATTTTCAAACGTTATTATAAAGTCAAATCAAATTATTGATTTGAATTTTAAATCAAATCATAATTAATCAGATCAGACCAGATCATATCCAATCAGATCAAATCAGACCAGATCAGATCTAATCAGATCCAATCAGATCAGATCAGAACTACAAAAAATCAGATCAGAAAAAATAAGTTGAACGGAACGGAGCCTTAGTAACGTGTGGTAGTTTTCCACTTGTTAGTGTACGTGCTTTTTATGCATAGTATTTTTTCAGCTGGATGTGTTTTTCTTTTGTTAACATTAGTTTGTTTTTATTTTTATCTTCTGTGTTTTCTTTATTTTACTCTGAGGTACTCCCTCCGTCCCATAGTATTTGTCCAATTTGACTTTTTCGAGTCAAACTGAAGAAACTTTGAGCTTCAATTAAATAAAAACTGTAAAATATTTTAATATAAAAATGACTTTATTCGATTTATCGTATTGAGAACTTTCAAAATTGTATTTCATTATGCTAATATTTAACAAAAATTGAGAGTAATTGTAGTTCAATGTTTGTCCAGTTTAACTCGAAAAAGTCAAACTGGACAAATACTCTGAGACGGAGGTAGTATGTGTTTTCTTTGAGCTTGTAATATACTTCATTTTTGAATATGTATTTTTATTATTTAATTTTACACGAATTATCATATAAAATAAACCAAAACTAATTTCATCCAAACACTATAAAGAAAGAAAACTTGTGAATAAAGAAAGTATTTATTGAAAAATTTCATACACTAATAAACATTTGAGTACAATTAATTAAAATTTGTTACTAAATTACTCCCTCCGTCCATGTATGATCTTCCCATTACGCGTTACGAGGCTTGACCGCAATTTAATTTAATTGATTATAAGAGTAAAATTTTAAAATAAAATTTATATAGTATAATAAACTACATGAAAAGTTCTACAAAACTAGAAGTGACAAGACTACATTATTTTATGAAATGACTAGTAAAATTGAACAAACAAAGTGAGTAAAGTTTGAACATGTGAATAGTATCTGGGAAGATCTATGGTGGAAACGGAAATTGCGGAGAGTGATTGGGGCCAATTTTATTGGAAATGCGTGACAACTTTTGACAAAGTGACACGATGTCTTGAACGATTTCTTTTCTGTTCTGCACAAATGCGGATTGATTATGGAGTAATAATTATTTATTCTTCACACAAAAGGGATATAATTTGCACGCTTAAACTATATATATGGAGTGTTAATTTTTCTTATATATTTTCTTTAACTGTTTTGATAATTTTAAAAAATTATAATTTGAATATTTTTTTGTACTAAGATGTTTTATGTGCTTTAAATATATACCCCAAGTATATGCTTTTCAAAATTTACATCGATCTGTTTTTAAATAAATCTAATTGCAAATAATGTTTTTACAAGTACTCTATTATAAATAACGAGGAGAAGATGTGTAACTTTGGATTGGACTTGTAATTAATTATTTGGTTGTTTAACTAATCACGCATTAATACAAGCTAGCTAGGGGCTGGTGTGTGTAGAAGGTTCCAAGTTTTCCAACTTAGTTAATTATATTGGCCTCTCATCATTCATAGCACACTACGTTCGTTCGTTATTCATTTTGATTTGTCAACGTGTTTGGTATATTGTCTTCAATACTCATTAATTATATATATGGAGTGGGAGAAGTTTGTTTTTTTCTCCCAAAAAAAACACTCTTAGTTAGGCTAGTATGGATGTCATGTTTTGACACGGAGATTATATATAGTGTTGGTGATTTTAGTGTCATCGATTATTATGTGTAATTAGATTAACTTATATTAAGATCGGATAGGAATTTTAATATATAGACGTTAACGAGTTAGGAGGTGGGGAGTGCACGCTCGTTCAACGATATTAGAAACTTCACGGCGGGGTCTGGGGGCGGTCCCTGGTAGCGGGGTCCAAGGGCCGGCAACCCCTGGCGGGGTCCAAGGGTAGAGCATTCTGAAAATCCTTCAGATTTTCGTAATCGGAGTTTAAAATATGTAATTTTTGAACATGTGAAAAACGTATTCAAATAAAGCTTAAAACAATGAACTATTCGAATAAATACACATTTATTCGAATAGTTCAGCACAGGCATGGTTTTGGAGAACCCCAACTAGACGAATAAATGCCCATCTATTCCAATAGGTCAGCACAGGCCTGGTTTTTTTGAAAACCCCAACTATTCGAATAAGTTGCCACTTATTCGAATAGTTCGAATTGGAAAACTGTCCAAAAGTTAAGATTTTCCCCACGGGTTGCGTTCATTCGACCAACGGTTACGTCCGATTGCCCAAATGCCTATATTAATTATGGACTTGCATGGTATTTTTAATTTAAAAGAGAGAGGGAAGTCCATACTCGTTCTATATACTAACGTCTTATCGGCCGATTGAAGTATTTTGGTATAACCCGAAATAACTTTAATTTGAAAGCGTGATTTCATGTGATTCGTTTAGTCTATCAAGTCATTTTACGTTACAATATACCAAGTAATGTTGTTACGCATCGTTGTTCCTCTATACAGAACTACCCCTATTTTTAACATATGCTTGCGTTTCGTTCGCCCGATCTAATTTGATCTAATTTTTGAAGATCTAGTCTGATCTGATTTGATTGCAATTATAATTAAATCTATTTTTAATCTAATTTAATCTGATTGTAATAAGAATGAGTAACAGAACGCTGCCTATATGGTGTTGTTATAACTACTTTTGATTCAAATCATGAGAATTATGCTGTTAACACTATAGCATTTTGAGTGTATTGACGCAAAAGGCTGGGGCCTGGGAGGTGGTGCAAGGGGGATGACGGGAAGAGTTAGTGATTCATATAAATATAATAGGACTTAATAATTTGACCCAACCAAAAAAATACTACCTCCATAATTTTCACTCATTCGTCTAAAAAAGAATATCATATTTGATGGTGTAAATATAGCGGGGTGGGTTAACCGGGTTTGACCTGGACACACTCGACCCGTAATATAAAACACACAACAAGAACACAAAGTATGACCTAGACCGGGTAAATCTCCTCAGTCCGAATTATATTTCTTACTCTATCTCAAGAGTGAACTTTAGTGAGAGAAAAATTGGATCCCCTCCTCTATCCAATATCATCATATTTATAGAGGAGGATTTGTGACCTTCCCCTGTTCATCCATGGACAAAATAGGAAGCTCACTGTACAATCATAGAATTTAGCAACTATAGGCCAAGACATGTACTGTTCAATCAAAGACTAAAATGGATATTCT